CAACATCATCACCTCCATGATAGGACTTGTACTAGTTTTGCTGGTTGTTGGGATTGTGGCGTTACCGCAACTACAAGAAGTTTGGCTTCGAGATTCTGGAGACGCTCAATATCATATAAATCACAATGTCATACTAATTTTTTTCTATTGCATCAAAAACTTTTATTGTTGTCTTCTCAAATTGTATCCCAAAATTGTGTTGATTTTTAAAAGTGTAACTGGGTCTAGAAGAATAGTGATTGTAACAAAAAAAACAAATTGTAATTGTATATAAAGTTTTAAGAAATTATTACCATTTCCATTATGAAAATATTTTTTTTTTAATATAATTATTACCTCTATAAATAAATAAATATTCTAATGCGGCGGAATTATATATATATTTTTAACTATATACTACCATCTAAATCTGTAATAAAATACAAACTAAAATATTTTTCTTTATAGGTTACGCTTTTGTTATATACTAGCTTCTTGTAAGAACAAATGAAAAAAATGAACATGAATGAGAAGTTTATGAGTAATCTTTCTCTTTAATTACCCTTGCCGACAAATTAAATTGACCCAACAATTTTTCTTTATGGTGGACTCTATTTGATTCTTATAATTAGCTATGATTTTGATGTTCTTCTTATAAAGTTCACCCACCAAATTTATTTAATCATTCTTTAAACCCAAAACGTGTTCGTTTCTAGTTTGCTAATGACCTTTAACTCTTTGCTCTCAACTCTTTTTCAATAACCTGATTTTTTAACTCATTTCTTTTTCAGTTTAACCTTGACATTTCTGAATCTTTGATTTACCATTAGCTTTTTAGAGAAACTATCCAAATTAATAGGGGGGAGTAAAATATAGAATTCTAAGTTATTCTTAAGTCTTAACGTATACGTTGAATATGTATTGATTATTAATCACTTTAAAAATGTTAAAAAAAAAAAAAATGTCCGCACAGCCGCACAGCCGTGGTCCAGTGGTAAGGGAGAATTGGGGAAAGGTTGGAAGCAACTAACCCAGGTTCTATCCAGCCTGAAAACAAAAATCATGTTTGTGTGGGAAGTCTGTCAATTGGGCAAAGCCCAGTTGGTTTAGCTGGTAGTCAGAAATGCAGGCGGCCTGACTACCCCCTGGCATTAGTCGTAAAGCATTCCAAACTCGGGATATACAGTGTGGTGGCCCTTCGGGGAGAAGTACACTCTGAATCACTTCGGTGCGTTTCTACCGGGGCTGACCGGATCAGCCGATAGGGTTTATCAAAAAAAAAAAAAAAAAAAAAAAAAAAGGTTATGAAAAAATATAATATTATAGTCACTTTTTAATTCACCAGTCATATGTTCGCATATGGATACAAAAAAAATTAGATCATAATGGGAAAGTATCAAAGTAATGAGTTTGGCTGGTTGTGTGGACTGGATTCTAAAGCAACGTCAAAGTATAGATGTAAATATGTACCTTTATGAATTACAGCAATAATTTTTGAGCTAATTGTTGAAATGGCATAAATTAGATAAGTAAAACTATAATTTCATAACTAAAGTAGGAGTTGGTACTGTATTTGACAACTTTGGAGCATGGGTGATAAAAATGCGGATCGACGTTCTATATATCTCCCCTAAAACTATAGCAACATATCATAATCACACAGAACTTTGACTATATCATATATATTTCTTAATCATAAGTTCAAATTCTATATCTCCCCAAATCTGAATAGGATATTTTAAATTTTTATAACTGAATAGCTACAAAAAAAAAGTTGGTATAAAGCAAATGAATTCACTTTTAAAATTCTTAATTATCTAGTAGATATAGTATAACTTTATTTTTTCTAAATGTGTTCATAAAATATTTCATTGAAAAACTATATTTAAACATAATCATAATGATTTGAATATTTTAAACAAAACATAAACTATGTAATAGTTTTTTTATTTACGATTTTGTCTTCTTTTGATTTTTGTATCTATCTTCAAGTTTTTTTTTTTATATCACCTAGGAAGTTTCGTGTATTGGATCTATTAGGTCACTAAATTAACTTTCAAAGTTCAAGTGACTTGTTAACTACTGACCAGATATAGTAATCTACAGTTGAGATTCTATTTGACATTTAAAGTAAATATAATGTCATGAAAGCTAATTTTCATAATGGTGTATTAAAATCATTTTAAACAAATTTGATTTACTTATCTAAAGTGTAAAGAAATACATCAAGGAGTTTGCGACGTTGTATAAAATCTAAGATACTTATGAAAAGTGTGATTGATTTTCCGGTATGTTTGTATCATAGCTTTATATCAAATAATTGGATAATCTGTATTTCGCATATGTATAAAGAAACTAAAGGTCTACATGATAAATTAGGGTAAAGTATGTGTTTTCATTACCGTTGAATACGGGAACTGCGATTCCACAGTAAGTTTGTTGTAATGTACTAAGTTTTTTTCTTAATAAATTAAGGCTTAGGTGGTATGAAGAGTGTGACTGATTAGGTGGTATGAAGGTGCTGAAACTGCACCTTAGGCAAAAATACATCAATACCAATGGTTGGAAGAGTTAACGTTGAACATGATGATGCCAAGTAAGTCAAGAATCTCATACCCACCCACATTGGAAACACACACAAATTGACAAACAAAAAAGAGCATACGAACCTTCCAAAACAAGGCATGCCCATCATTATTTTTTCCATTTTTTCTTTGACGGCAAACGAAAATAAAACTAAAGTAACGAAATGTATTTTTTAGTTTAATTTAGTATCTCAAATTGCTTTTTTTTTTTTTGTTATCATGTTTATTTTAATTTTATAACAAAGTATTTATTGGATAAAGCCTATTTCAACCTTATATGATTGTACATCATGGTAATTATAGACTTTGATGACACATGACAATTGTTTAGCGAGATCTAAGCATTAGTTACATGTGATGTCAAAAAAATAGAGCATTAGTTACATGTTTGTTATGTTCTTATTATTACAAGACGATTTATCTATAAGAAACTCACACTTAAATTGTTCATATTAACATAGTTCTTTCTCCTCTAACAAATCGCCTACCAACAATAAAAAACGATTTACTCTATGACATATATACTAGGTTTGAGCAAACTTAGTTTCCATTATCGAAATTGGAATTTTGGTTCGGTTTAGTTGTGAAGCAAAAACCGATTAGAATTCTCTTTACAAAAAAAAATAAGATCAAATTACCAAAAAGTTCTAATTTTATAAATTCTATTTTTTCTCAAAAAATTTCAGTTTTAGTATAAATAAAAATATGACTAATTTTTAATAATATATCAAAATTACCAAGACTAAAATCGAAATAAACCAAAATTACATACAAAGGTTCTAAATGGTAACATGATTGTTGAGGAATTTAAAATGGTTACATCACCAATTGAGCTAGTAAAGATCTCTGGCAAAAGCTTAGAGGTCGCCGGTTCGAGTAGCGCTAGGGACGAAACCATATAACATGTTTTGGTTGCGGGCCTGAAAGGATATATGGGCTTCGGCCAGAACTTCTTCGATTATTCGAAAAAAAAATGGTTACATCATTTGAATGTTGAGGATATAGGGCTTTTTGCTGAATATACGAGGATTGTTCATATTTTGAATTTTAAATTTGTTTAAAGCTGTTGATCAATTATCAATCTCAATTATTATTTAAACTAAATATTTTCAAAAATTAGAAATACATGACTTTCTGTAACAACCCATCCCGGTGGGAACCCCTACCACATGGCACACTCTGCCATGTGGCACACCCCGCCACATGGCATCCTTACAGCGCTGCAGCGCATCGACCTTAACCTCTCTCCTGTGGGCCCAAACTGCACTGCGCACTTGCTCGCAACCTCCTGGCCCACCAGGTAGGTTATTGGTGCGCCTGACATTCCTCGAACCCATATCCTCACCCTTTAACAACCTTCCCACTTGACAAGTTGTTACCAATTGATCTGCAGGTCAACTGGTAACAACTTGTCAAGTGGGAAGGTAGTTAAAGGGTGAGGACCTGCGTTCGAGGAACGCCAGGCGCACCAATAACCTACCTGGTGGGCCAGGAGGCTGCGAGCAAGTGGTCTACGCAGTTTGGGCCCACATGAGAGAGGTTAGGATCGATACGCTGCAACGCTGTAAGGATGCCATGTGGCGGGGTGTGCCACATGGCGGAGTGTTCCCACGGGCAAAGTGTTACACTTTCAAATAAATTATGTAATTAATTTTTCATATGTCTATTTAATTAATTCATTTTTCAAAATTTGGTCAATTCAGCTGCTACTGTTTAAACTATAAGTTATCCAACCATATCCCTATACAAAAATCACCATTAAATTTTGCTAAATTCAGCAATTCAGCTAAACTCAACTAAAATCCACAATTATATCATTTATACTTTGGAATAAACAGAAATTCAATTTCAATTCAAAATTATTATATCCAAACCGACTAAACCAATCGAATCACCAAACCAAACCAAAAATACAATAAAAACTGAAAATAACATTTTTAGAAGTTTCTTTACGCAATGGAATTGAGGTTACACATAATCCAAGTAAATTAATAACAATCTTACCAAAAAAAAAAAAGTAAATTAATAACAAAAAGACATAAAACGTCAAAGTATCTTTATCTCTAAGGGTAATTTGGTGTACACCCCAAACAAACAAAACAACCCAAAATATTTGGAAAATTATATTAAAAAGAAACAAAAAAAAAAACAAAAAACAAAACCGGCTACAGTAGGTAAATCCTCCAACTAAAACCGACACGTGTCCAAAACCCCACAAAGAAACTAAAGAGCTGATCGATCACATGCCAATAGAATAATATAAAGTATTTTATATTTCAAAAAATAAAGTATCCAATAAGATCAAAGGCGGTACTTGATTTCAAATATTCCACCAGTAAGGTATAGTAATCCTCTGTATCACAGTCTATACTAATACAGTGGAACTCAAAAAATAAAAAAAATTGAAATATAGAAGAAGAGTAGCTACCACTCCACTCTTCTCCTCTCTCTCTCTCTTTAACTCTCTCTCTCTCTATACATACGCCATTGTTATTACAATCGAAGCTTCAAGTTCTGTTTCTCTGTTTTACTTTTGTTGTTGAAGAAGAAGAAGAGAGGATGGAGAAAAACACACCGGTGAGGAAACTGAACATGTCGACGGCGGATCTATTAACTTGGCCGGAGAATCAACCGTTTGATTCTTCCGCCGCCGTTTTTTCTTCTCGCTCCGCCGTTAGATCGCACCAGGTACTTGATTACGCGATCTTAGCCGTCGGATTGATTTTATTTTACAAATCACATTATTAATTTCAGCATCTTACGAATTTGAAATTTGATATATTTTTTTTTTCTTTTTTGAATTTGAAATTTGGGGAAAATAATCTTAGTCGTTTGATTAATTAAAGAATTGAATACTGGATTTATTCAATTTTGTTAATTTTGTTAATCTACTAAATTGTTTTCGTTTTTGAAAAAATTGGGGGGGATTAATCTAATCTAAGCCGTTGGATTGATTTCTTTTACTTATTACTATTAATTTCAATTACTTTCGTGATCTACTAATTTGAAAAATTGAATCTTTTTCAAATTTGAAATTAGGGGAAAACAATCTCAACCGTTTGATTAAGCAATTAATTACTGAATTCACTCATTTTTTTTGTGAATTTCGTAATTTACTAATCTGTTTTTGTTTTAAAAAACATAAAATTTTTGCTAATTTAAAGAATTTATTACTGAATTCATTCAATTTTGTTAATTTCGCTAATCTACTAATTTGTTTTTGTTTTTTGAAAAAATGGGGGAGTTAATCTCAGCCGTTGGATTGAATTCTTTTACATATTACTATTAATTTCAATTAATTTCGTGATCTACTAATTTGAAAAATTGAATCTTTTTCAAATTTGAAATTAGGGGAAAACAATCTCAGCCGTTTGATTAAACAAATTTATTACTGTATTCACTTAATTTTGTTAATTTCGTAATCGACTAATTTGTTTTTGTTTTCTTTTAAATTGGGGGAATTAATCTCAGCCGTCGGATTGATTTCTTTTACAAATTACTAATTTAATTTCATTTATTCCATCTACGAATTTGAAATTTTGATTCGACTCTGACTTTTTTTTTTCCTTTTTTAAATTTAAAATTTGGGGAAACCAATCTCAGCCGTTTGATTACACAATTAATTACTAATTTCAC